CTCTCTGCTCTTGGTTTCACTTCCTTCCCGTCTTCTAAGCTCCGCCCCCTAACCTCTAGAGGTCATCAAACTCGACACATAAAACATATTTATTTATTTATTAGATAATATTTTTCATAAATAACTATGATATCAGAATTTAAACACCTTTGTTATTTAGCAGAAAGTTCTTAAAATAGTTTGTTGAAAAAAATAAAAGAAAAACAAAAACTGCTTAATATCAACAGATCCTATATTAGTAGAGCTCTACATTCTCCCCCCACCAAGAATCGTTATGCCCTCATAACGAGGAAAAATACATCTAAATGAATGAAATATCACAAAATTACACTTGTTTTCTTTCACAGTTACTCATTATCTGAATCAATGACATATGCAGAGTACCTCTCAAAATAAAAACACAAAATAACGGCAAATATGACACAATGATCAATTACCCAGCAATAACTCTAATTACTGTCTTTTCTTCAAAGTAACAGCACATGTACTAATTTTTCTTGATGGCACATGCAACCACAAATATACAGAAGAATTGTATTTGACTGGATTTACTACTTTGGCCTGCACAACAACAGGTTCAACTGTTGGCATCCCAAGTGTATCATATGTTAACCTCTTGGGCACAGTTCTCATTCTCTGAGACCTCCCTTTAATTTCAGGTAAACTATCAGAGATAGTTTCGTTTTCATTACTCTGATCCACACTCTCTAGATCCTGCACTATACTTGTAACAGTATCACAAAGATCTGACACTTGACTCAAATTTTGTAAATTTTCTGAATCATTCTCAACCAGAAGTCTTGAATCAGTCTCTACAGAATCATCTGTTCTAACTCCTTGAGGAGTCTTATCTTTCACATCTACAGGTTTTACAGTATCTCTGACTTCATTCTCAGAAACAACTGAATCACTCTGTAAAGATTCATTCCCACTAAAAGGCAATTGACTGTCTTTAGGAATTGGAACCCATACCCCATATTCTTCATCCTCACTCTCACAACTTTCTTCAACAGTCTGATCAGCTCTGACTTCAATTTCTTGTACTACAGAGGCATCATTAGTTCCTTGTTCTGTACTCTGACTTTCTACAACATTTTTCCTCTGTCTCAGAAGTCTTTCTTGAGCTTTTGGTATTTTGTCTGAAACTCTCTGTCTCAACTGTTGTCGAATAGGAAGAATATGATTCCTGTGCAGAATTTTGACTGGTCCATTTCCACTCTGTGGCTTAAGTCGAAACACAGGTAGGTTAGGCATTTGGCTCTGGACAACATAAGGCTCAGAATTCCATCTGTCTGCCAATTTGTGCTTTCCTTGGAGTCCAAGATTTCGTATCAAGACTTTGTCCCCAGGAACCAGGTGAGAATAATGCAATCTCTGATCATATCTTCTCTTATTTCCTGCATTTTTCTTCTCAGCATTTTCCTCTGCTAGCTGATAAGCAGATTTCAGTTCGTTCTGCATCTTCTTTACGAACCGTTGGTAAGACCTTACAGAAGTACCATCACTTGACACACCAAAACTCAAGTCAATGGGCAGCCTGGCTTCCCTGCCAAACATAAGAAAGTAAGGGGAATACCCTGTGGCGTCATTCATGCTGCAATTGTACACATGCACAAGATGTCCAATGTGTCGACTCCACTGTTGTTTCTGCCTTGAATCCAGGGTCCCCAGCATATCTAAAAGCGTTCGGTTGAACCGTTCAGGCTGCGGATCACCCTGCGGATGATACGGTGTTGTTCGGGATTTCTCTACTCCTAATAGGTCAAACAACTCATGGATGAGCTTGCTCTCGAAATCCCGACCTTGGTCTGAGTGCATCCTTTTAGGCAGTCCGTAGTGAATGAAGTATTTCTCCCACAGAACTTTCGCAACTGTGGTTGCCTTCTGATCTTTAGTTGGAAAGGCCTGTGCATACCTTGTGTAGTGGTCCGTGATGACAAGGACATTACAGATGTTTTTGGAATCTGGCTCTATGGAAAGAAAATCCATACATACAAGATCCATCGGTCCATTACTAGACAAATGTGACAAGGGTGCAGCTTTTCTAGGCAAAGTCTTTCTTTGGACACACCTGGCACATGTCTGGCAATATTTCTCAACATCAACCTTCATTCGGGGCCAGTAAAATCTATTTCTCACAAAACCATAGGTCTTGTCAAACCCCATGTGACCTGAATCATCATGAAGTGATTTTAAAACCACTTCATGGAACTTTTTGGGCAGACATAGCTGTTTATGACAAGGTCTTTCTGGTACTTGAGTGCACCGAAACATTACTCCATTATCCAAAACTAGTTTGTCCCAGTCTCTCATGATCAGTCGAATGTCTTTGTGAGCTTCTTTATTAACTGTGGACAAATCTCCCCTTTTCAAAGCTCTCCATATCTCACCCATACATGGGTCTTCTTGCTGAGCACAGGACAGATCCACAGAACTCAATTTAGGAATTTTTAGAGTATCCAATGTAGCTAAATTACAGTACGTTTTGGGGATTGACTTAGGAGATCCACCTAATGACGTCACAATCCTGCTGACACTTGCAAAGCAGTTTGGCTTGTCCTGACCTGGCAGCTTACACAAAGATCTTACACCAGAAGATGGAATACTTGTCCATTCCTTTTCTTTTTGATGAGATCGACGAGATAATGCGTCAGCATCGATATTCTGTCTCCCAGGCCGGTACTTGAGACTGAAGTCATAGGCTGAGAGGGCTGCCAGCCAACGATGTCCTACAGCATCCAGCTTGGCTGTTGTCAGAACATAAGTTAGCGGGTTATTGTCTGTCTGGACCTCAAATTTAACCCCATAGAGATAGTCATGTAGCTTGTCAACCACCGCCCATTTTAATGCCAAGAACTCAAGTTTGTGGACGGGGTAGTTCTTTTCAGAAGGCGTCAAACTTCTGCTGACAAATGCCACTGGTTTTAACCCCTCTCCTTGATCCTGGTACAACACACCACCAAGTCCTTCACAACAGGCGTCGACATGTAATACATAGGGGAGCTGAGGATTTGCAAAGACCAAGACTGGAGCTTCAGTTAATCTCACCTTTAACTCTTTAAAGGCAGTTTCGCATGCATCAGTCCATCTACTCCCAAAAGGGTCAGTAGCTTTGTACGCTAATTGTTTTGGGCGAAGTCCTGCTTTGATCTTTTTCAAACTTGCTGCAGGCAGACAACCTTGTAAGAGCTGATTAAGTGGATAGGATACTTTTGAATAGTCTTTCACAAATCTTCTATAGTATCCACAGAAACCTAAAAATGAACGCAGTTCTGACACGTTCTGAGGTCGAGGCCAAGATTTTACAGCATCAATCTTGGAGGGGTCTGTTGAGACACCGTCTTGGGAGACAATGTGTCCAACGTAGCTGACAGAGGTCTGACAGAAGGTGCATTTATCCAAAGACAACTTCAATCCTTCACTCTGTAATCTGTCCAAGACTTTTAGCAACCTCTCTTCATGCTCCTCCAATGTCCTGCCAAATACGATGAGGTCGTCCAGATACACTAATACTTCCAACAAGTTCATGTCCCCAACGGTCTTTTCCATAACTCTTTGAAAAGTCGATGGAGCTCCACAAATCCCCTGTGGCATTCTCTGGAACTGATAGAACCCCACTGGGCAGATGAATGCTGTCTTTTCTTGATCTGCTTCACTCATAGGAATCTGGTAATATCCACTCCTGAGATTCAATACACTAAACCACTTGCTCCAATTCAGACAAGTTAGTGCATCCTCTATCCGTGGAACAGTGTATTGATCTGGAATAGTACGTCGGTTTAGCGTTCGATAATCCACGCACATTCTGATCTGGCCATTCTTTTTCCGTACTACAACAATCGGAGAAGCATATGGACTCCTGGATTCTGTGATAATCCCTGCTCCTTTTAACTTCTCTAGATGTAGCCTGACATCTTCCAGATCAGCTGGAGCAAGACGTCTTGAACGCTCACGAAAAGGTTTGTTCTCTGTCAGCCGAATCCGATGCTGGGTACTCTTTGAACATCCAACTTCAAATTCATCACAGGAGAACACATCTGTCCTTTCCAACATCTTTTTAACCAGTCGTTGTTTCCATTCGTTGGGCACAGAGGAATCACCAAAGTTAAATGAGCTAGCATCTAGTTTAGTCTGTCCACTACACTCTTGTGGTTTTGAGCTGGTAGACACAACCTCCACTGGAAACACATGAGCAATGGGCATTCCTCTTTTAAGATTTACAGTGCGAGAGGAGACATTTCTGATCGTAACTCCAATCTTTCTTGACTGAACAACAGTATTGGCCTGTACTTCGGCGGTTACAAGCAGTTCATCTGGAAACACAGATTCCTCTGGCTTATCGACTAACAGAGTCTTTCCAGAAAAAGCAGAAGGGCATTTCAACACTCCATAAACCCTAGCACTCTCTCCGGGAGGCAACTTTAATGGCTTAGGGTTAAGATACCAGACAGTTCCTCTGCTGTCGTCACAGTGACTCTTTTCAACTGCTATGGCCCGTTCATAAGCATCTCTGATCTCAGGATGAACAGTCAAGGTATGTAGAAAATCATCTCCCACCTTTTCTTTGCATGCTTCTACCAGCTTTTTCACTACAGATGTATTTGTTCCCACCAGAATGTTTACATCCCCTTTCATGACAGGATCGGGACAGACCAGCACAAGTGCATCTATGGATTCCGCCACTCCTGCAACAGATCCTGGAAACTCCAGCCTCAAAGACAAACAGCCATCATATGGGTACTTTTGCATACTCAATCCCCATATCTCCAAATTTTCTATTGGTATCAATGGCATATGTCTCAAGTATTTGTCATAGAAGGATCTGTATAGCAGGGTAACTTGCGATCCACTATCTAACAAAGCCTTTGCATAGATTCCTTCCACTTGAACAGGAAGGACAGAACTGGGTCCTACTAACCCGCTCGGAAGAACTGCTGGCTCAGCTTGGACTCTTTTGCACTTTGTGGAACGTGTCTTTCCCGGAGCTTCAGGCCGTTCCTTTACTGAGCCCCGGAGAAGTTTCCCGAAGATTGTCTCATTCTGATGAGTCGCTGGTTTACTTTCCTGAGATTTTCATCGTTTTTACAGTCCCGCTTAAGATGCCCATCTTCCCCGCATCTGTAGCAAAATATGTTGGCTTTGGTTACTGTACGTGTTGGAGTTTTACAGTCAGCAACAGCAGCCAGACTGTGCATGGCTGGACGATTATGGGCTACAGGTTCTTTGGCTGCAGCTGACAACCGAGACACCTCATTTTTCAGCCCTCTAATCTCCTTCTTTAACTTTTCTACTTCTGAGTCGACAGTACCACTGTTAGCAGACGAATCCTTCTTGGTAGTGGGCACTACAGACATGGCAACATTAGACGGTAAGGTGCGCCTACTGCTGACCATATTTTCTTCTTCTCTAACCTCCTTCATTAACTCGTTGAAAGAAGGTGGCTCACAAAGCTTGTGGGTCATCCTCAAACGCATAGCCACCATGTCACCTGCCAGGGCACCTCTGACTATTTGCTGCATTCTAAGATGATTAAGAGCAGAATACTCAATTCCTTTTTTTCCGCAGCATGCTATGGAGCAGCCTGTCCAACCTCAATATGTAGGCTGACAGCTTCTCTCCTTCATTCTGGTATGTGCTTCGAAATTTAAGCATTAAATCTGCAGCATCCTCAGTACTGCCAAATGCTGACTCTAGTACACTAAGATAGTCACTATAAGTAGCGGCTGAGTTGCCAGTCTTTTCAAATCTTACAATATCTGCTGCAGGACCTCTGAGGCACTCTACTAGTTTCTGCTTCTTAACATTATCAGAGCACTGCCACTCTTCCAAAATGTGTGTAGTCTGCTCCACCCAAATCTCAAACTCGTCTTCCCCAAGAGGAGTTGGTATAAACCCTGAAAAAGGGCGCAGCTTTCTATATATCCCTCTCTCCTCAGATGAAGCCACATGACATGTTTGAACAAGGGAGTTTATGGCCTCGACCAGCTTAGTGTTGAGGTCAGGAGCAGGAGATGCCAAACTTGAAATGTCAGCTAATGATTTTCCTTCGTTTTGAAGGAACAAATTCAACTTAGTCTGAAATTCATCTTCCTTGCTCTTTTTAGGAGCTTCAGCTGCAACACACACAACCTGTGTGTACCAGAGACCTACTTCAGGTCCTCCAATCTCTGCAGGGATAGATGTCTTGGATATGTCATCATCAAATTCAATCAAAACAAATTGAAATTCCTTATTTTTATCTAAGCGACAACCAAGCACTTTGCATTTACCAACTCCCAGAGCAGTATCTAGTACATTATAGATCACTCTGTCCTCACAGTCTGTAGGCACATTGCTAAGAATAATAACTTTGTCAAGACCCACATCTTTGTCTCTGCACCAAGCAATAATCTCACTAACCTCCATTTTTTTTTTAACTTACAAAAAAAAGAATGTAAAATGTGTTTGTAAAAAAAAACTGAATGAAAGAGAAAAATATATATTCAAAATAAACCCCAGAATAAGTATACACGCAAATAAATCACTTCTAAATTTCTTTCTGAATTAACAATCTGAGTAATCTGATTGATCCCGGAACGAGCCCCCACAAATGTAGCCCTCTCCCCTTAACTAGCTCAGAAAAAGTAATATGTCTAGGGAAATTCAAATAAAATTCAAGGTGAGAGGCACATCCCTATAACTTTAAAATTATCAATGTCTGTTCATGAAATGGTAATAACAAACACTTAATAACACCGGGCCTCAGATATATATGTAGAGTTATTCAGAGTAGAAGTGACTATTTGTTTTCTTTTTCTATTGCATAATATAATTTAACTCTCTCATTTACAAGTTATTTTACACACTGGTTTATTTAACCATTAATTTTCACCCTTTCTGTAAAAGAAAATCACAAATGCAAGGCATATAATAACTTTTTACATTTATTAAATATTGTGAGGCTATTGTGTTAATTTTCTTTCATTGTGTTTTAAATCACTTTAAAGCTGTAGGACTCAATTCACTTTCAGTGACAACACAGCTTCACTTAATCAGACATACAAAGCAAACACACATTTGAGCAACATTATAGCATCAAATAAAACCCAAAATAAAATGTTACCCAGCTGGGATTTAAGTCTTACGTTGGCGCGCAATGTTGGAGCTCACGTTGGAAAAAAACACTTTTCAGTACTCACAGAATCCGTAGAAATAATGAAGGTCACAATCACAGTACCCATTCACAGAACCAGACACACTCCAAACGTCTCTGACGTCCATCCGCGATCCCGAATTGCATCACCGCAGTTGTAAATCCTCCGATCACGAAACAAACAGGCCCGATTAGCAAAGCCTCAGTCTCTCTCCAATCGATCTTTCAGTCCGCAGGTCTGACGTTCACTCTCTCTCTCTCTCTGAACAATTAACCACACAGATTGTCCAGCGATCCTCAAATGCACTAAGGATGTGGGTTAACAGTCTTTGTAAACTCAGAACTAACACATGAATTTTCTTTTGTGTAACTATTTCAAGGCAAACTATTAAAACAAAAACTCTAAATCCAACGCATCTGACTCTCTGCTCTTGGTTTCACTTCCTTCCCGTCTTCTAAGCTCCGCCCCCTAACCTCTAGAGGTCATCAAACTCGACACATAAAACATATTTATTTATTTATTAGATAATATTTTTCATAAATAACTATGATATCAGAATTTAAACACCTTTGTTATTTAGCAGAAAGTTCTTAAAATAGTTTGTTGAAAAAAATAAAAGAAAAACAAAAACTGCTTAATATCAACAGATCCTATATTAGTAGAGCTCTACACAAGGTTGAGGCTGTAAGGAGAATGCCAACACCTGAATGTAAAAAGGTTATGGAGAGATTTCAAGCCATGGTCACATACTTAGCAAAGTTTGTTCCAAACATGTCACAACATACTGAACCCTTATGTGGATTAACCAGATTTTATGTTGCATGGCAGTGGAGAGAGGAACATCAACAAGCATTTGACAAATTAAAAATAATGGTCAGTGAATTTCCTTTGCTTAGATGCTATGAGGTAAACCTACCTGTGACACGATCAGTGGACGCTTTAAAAAGTGGACTCGGTGCAGTCCTACTCCAAGAGGACAAACCGATGACATATGCATGGCATGCCTTAACGGAAACCGAACAACGTGGTGCCCAAATTGAAAAAGAAATGTTGGCAATAGTGTTTGGACTAGAATGTTTCCATCAGTATGTATTTAAAAAAGAAATGAATGTGGAGTGAGATCACAAGCCACTTGAAGTGATAATAAAAAAAAAAAAAAAATTGAGCAGTGTTCCAGCTAGAATACACAGACTATTAATGAAACTACAGAAATATTAAGTGCATGTACAGAAAAAGCCAGGTAAGGAGATGGATATTCCATCTGCATTGTCCAGAGCTTTCTTACAAGTGACCAGGTCATTTGATAAAGACATAGAAGCTCAAGTGCTTATGGTGGTCTCTAATTTGCCTGTGTCAAGTGAGAAATCTGAAGAATTCAGAGAAGAAACAAAGAATGATATGACACTGATGAAACTCACAGAGACAGTCCTGAGCGGATGGCTGAAGACAAAGCATCAAACTGCAAAAGAAATTCAAAATTATTGGAATTACAGAGAGGAAATTTCAGAAATGGATGGAGTTTTATTCAAAGGACAATGACATGTTGTTCCAGCAGCAATGAGAGCTGAAATGCTTAAGTAAATTTATAAAAGTCACTTGCACATTGAAAGCTGCAGCCGCAGAGCACGAGAAGTATTCTTTTGACCTGGAATGTCACAAAGTATCACAAAAATGGTGAACAGCTGTGACGTGTGTAGGACTCATCACAAACGACAAAGCAAAGAGCCATTACATCTATACAGTGTTTCAGAAAGACCCTGGCAAAAGATATGTGTTGACCTCTTCACCTTTGGCCAGCAGGAATATTTACTCCTAGTGGACTACTAATCCAAGTTCATCGAGGTTGAATGACAAAAGTCAGAAGTGCAACAGTCATCACACATCTTAGGTCACAATTCGCTAGACATGGAATTCCTGAGACAGTAATTTCAGACAATGGACCTCAATTAAGCTCTTGTGAATTCCAAGTTTTTGCAAAAAAGTGGGAGTTTTCTCATGAAAAATCTAGCCCCCACCATGCTTAATCGAATGGAATGGTTGAAAGAGGAGTTCAAATTGTAAAAGAGCATGAAAAAACGATTAAAGCAGATGGAAAGGATTCGTATTTGTTTTTTTTTTACTGAACCTTAGGAGTACACCATTAGAAGACACCGGATCGTCACCAGCTCAGTTGTTGATGGGTTGATGTGAGAGAACGAGACTTCCAACAATGTCACAAATGTTGAAACCCTGTCTGTTTTTGCAGGGTTTCAACATTTGTGCAGCAATTGTTAGAAAAAAAGACAACAGAAACTGAAAGAATACTTTGATCAAGGAGCAAGGGTGCTTGAGAAACTTCAGATTGGCAACAATGTCAGATTATGGCAAAATGGCGTATGGAATCCAGCTCAAGTAACTGGACTTTCTGATCATCCCAGATCATATGTCGTACAGACTCCTGATGGGCAGATGTACTGAAGGAACAGTGAGTTTCTGATGAAGTCAAAAGTGGAAAAAAACATAACCAAGAACGAGGAAAATCAATCAATACAAAAAGTTGTAACAGCAGAATTTGCAGAATTATGCAGGTGAACCTTGTGAAGTAAACAGTCAAAACAAAACACAACAAAAAAGTGTAGTCCTATAAAACTTCCAAGCCTTCCAACAAAAACAGCAAGTGGACGGATTGTCACCAAGCCAAGAAGGGCTGTTGAAAAATAGCTTTTCCGTTATGATAGTTTAAGGAACAACGCAAAAGTGGTTACAGAATGAAAAGAGATTTTTTCTTTGTAAAATAAATGTAAAAAAAAAATGTTATGTGATGCCAGGCTGAATATATATATATATATATATATATATATATATATATATATATATATATATATATATATATATATATATATATATATATATATATATATAATGTTTGTGGTTCTCATTTTCAGGTCATGGACTTTAATAAATGACTAAAAAATGGAAAAAAAGGGGGGATGTCATGAAATGTAAATCATTCAAATTAATCATGATGCAGTTCATGCAGAAGCCACAGGGTGGCATAATAAAACAGTTCAAGAGTTCATACAAAACCATGTCTGATAAAAAGACATGTCTGTCGTTTATGCTCAATAAAAACACATCGAATCAAAATCAACTTTTTGCATTTAAGGCAAAAAATTTACTCACTTTTTTTAAGTAAAGTCAGTGAATCACTTTTTACATGCTCATATTAGTCCTCATTCCACACACAATAAAAGTCCTGGTACAGACTGCAGAAAGATTATCTTATTTGTTTGTCTGTAGATAATTTTGCATGTTGCTGGTGATAGCGATTTAGCTGTTGGCTGTAAGGACAAACTCATAGAATACTCCCGGTCAGTTGTAAAACTATTGATTTTGTGTTCAGGAGTTTGAGTTTAGTGTTTGGCCATCCTTTGTGGGCTCATGAAACCTGTGCACCCAAATAGTGTTCAATTGTTAAAGCTGATGCACACATGTACATTATATTCTGCTTGGTAACACAGAGACACACATTAAACTGAAATCTCAGAGTTGAATAAAAAGCTTTTTAATCTTTTTTTGTTTGTTTGTTTTTGTTGTCACAACATTTCATTAAAGCCGTTTGAAACAAACTGAGCATTTTCTTTTTGTGTTGCAAAAATAACATTTATTTAATAGCAGACTCTTGTAACTAGTTTGAGTCATTTTAACACACTAGCTTAAAATATATGAAATATAGAGAAAATATTACTTCTGGTCTCCCTTTGCCTCATAATTATCTGCTTACCAATTAAGTAAAGGAAAAAAAAAACATTCAAATTAATTGACAAATGTTCTTCAGTTTAAGGCCTTTCCTCAAAAATAAAGTATAATGTGAAATGTTCATTTTGTCATCTGAGGAAGACTTTTTTCATTTGTTTTGACGATGAGTTATTTTATAAGAGACTTTTCATTTTGTTTTCTTTGGGCTATTTGAAATTTTAGGAAAACCTATGCTTCGTTAATTTATATTTCTTGTTTGCATTGTAAAGCTCAGTATTTTGTCTTGCATGTTGCAT